AGATAGATAGATAGATAGATAGATAGATAGATAGATAGATAGATAGAAAGATAGATAGATAGATAGATAGATGGATAGATAGATAGATAGATAGCTCCATTAACAGTTTAAATGTTTATATGTGTATACAACTGTTTATACGTGTATACTGTATATGTATGTATATAGACAGACAGACAGACAGACAGACAGACAGACAGACAGACAGACAGACAGACAGACAATAAGACAGGTAGGTGGTTGGGTAGGTACATAGATAGATACATTGATAGACAGATTGATGGATACATTGATAGAGACATAGATAGATACATTGATAGACAGATTGATGGATACATTGATAGAGACATTGATAGATACATTGATAGACAGACAGACAGACAGACAGACAGGCCGACCGACCGACCGAGTTCCTTTTTTCTATGGCTTTTGTCCGAGATTCACCTGGCTTGACCTTTAGGACCTGCTGGGTAACATCAACAGTGAAAAAATGTTAAACTTAAGCATGCTGATAAGTTGCTGATGAATAAATGCATCTGTCTGGTTTAGAAAAAAATTCATCAAATGAAACTATGTGAGGTTGAATTTTATTGTGAGGAAAGTTAATCAAACTCTCATTAAGCCACCAGACAGATAAAAGAGGTTAAACACTGAATTAGTCATTTTAGGCAAGGAGAACAATCCAATCCACTTTTCATCATACTGTTTTATCTAAATATTGGCCCACCCAGAGTCTGGAGGTCCTACCGTCTTTTTGCCTTCAACTTCACCTCCACAGGGTAATGGTCACTGATACGGAGAGCCTTTGAATGCAAAGAAAAATCACATGATCAACCCGTGCACTTACTGAGCATCTCCAAACTTTCTATCATCTCATGTTCCTCCTCATAAAATATTGGTGGCTGTACTCTTCATAGTAAACAGAAGTCATTCTTACATTTTCATTACTCAGCCTCAACGCTTTCTCGAAGTTGTAAGGCTTGCCAGAATTTGCCACTATGGCGTCCTTCAAGGCTTCCCCATACACCACGATCCTGTTTGAAGGAGATTATACTGTATGAGTTAGAGTTTCAGATCTTGCAAGAGATGTTATGATATGTTAAACAAGAAGGAAACTGCAAATCAAGTCAGAAGTAGAGAGGAAACAAATGCAAAGATGTGTTTTATAACCATGTGTATTAACACCCAAACGTAGACAATAATCATGTTATTCAGATAACGATGTTCAAGTCTGCATCACCTGTCGTAGGTGTGGTCATTACTTCCGCTTACTGTGGTGTCTTCATCATCATCTATGACCCAGTGGTAACACTCAGACCGGAGGTGGCTCCTGTCGAGCTTTCTTCTGGACATATAGCGTCCATCTGCATTGAAGTCCCCCAAAATCATGATGTTCTGCAGAAGAAATTGTAATATTTGTAACAGATTCCACAGCATATGTTGGGTGCTTAACAATCTGTGCATTTTTAAGCACCTTTGGCACAAAATATAAAATAAAACTAAATTTACGGTTTGTCAATAAAGTTTGACCAGGAGTTTGAAGCCAGCTGTTTGTGGCTATATTTAAATGTAAGACACTAAATCAGGACTGAGTAAAAGTCACTTTCACATAACTTCCCAATCTTTCTGATTGTTTGTTGTTGGAATTCAAAGCTGTTGGGATGTGGTCAGAAACCGACCACAGACCAATGACCACATTTAAGATATACAGAATCTGATAATGATGTAAAATCTATAAATCTTACTTCGGTGTCCCAGTGTTCCTCGACTTCTCTGACCACATCGTCAAGCTCGTCAATCTCCTTCTCACTATCGTCTGGCTTGGTGTGGATTGGAATCAGGACCAGGTCTTCCACAGCTAGCAGAGGGCAAAAGCAAAGAAAGCAGAATCCTAAGTACTCTGTGATCTCAAAGCCCCGTACACTGTAATCGATCCAACTTCATGTTGTGCTGTTATCATGACAAAATTATGCTTTTATTGGTTAGAATATACCCAACCATTCCTCCATAGTTCCTTAAAATCTACTTTATCTACAAGAAAATGCATGTGCTGGTAATATTACATGCCAATAGGTGCAAAGATAGAAAGCACAGAAATCTGAATGAAAGTTTACATGAACAAAACATTGAGGAGAGTAAAGGTTTGTTTTTTAAGATCAAGAAATGTCAGTTACCAGGAAGACGGATGCCTGATAAGATTGAAAAACTAGGTTTTAGTGGACTTTAGTGGACTTTTTGCTATCACTTTAGCAAAAAGTCCTCCGTTAAAATGTTTTAATTAATAACCAACACAAAAGACAGCCAATCGGTCAAAGTTACACAAATGTATATTTGTAGGAATGACGGTTAAACTATGAGGTTGCTGATTGGCTTGTATGGTAGTATTTTGGTATTTACAGTATATGATGAAGGGAATGGTAGATTGGTACAAGTCTTGAATGTTCTGGAAGCAAATAACTCAGTAGTTTCCACAAATAATGAAAAAAATAAGAAATTCCATTAAAAATACACAAAAGCTCACGTTTTACTTCACAACTTTGGAATAAAAAGTTAGAATAAGTCAAATATGGCGTTGGTACATAAATCAGCAGATTTTTAAATTGTTGTATCATTACTGAAAACTACGATGAGCATCAACAAACCTGCTTTGGGACATTTAAAACGCACGATGAAGGGCTCTCGGGCAAAGGCGTCCTCATCCCCCTCTTGCTCATCCTCATACTGCCATTGATCTATGAGCTCAACTTCGTCTTCTCTGAGGGACAGAAAAAGAGACCGAAGGGAGTATGTGAATGAACCACTCCACTCAGATCCTGCTATTCTATCTATTATTTGTAAAGGGCATTAGGACAATGTTTAAGATCATGTTTGTTTTTGCTGGAGTGAAAAATTCCTTTTGAGGCTCACAATGAATTTCCTCTCACCTGTAGAAAAAGGCATATTTCTCATTGTGGGAGTTTCGACCCAGACCTTCGCTGCAGATCACCTCATAGGGATGGTCTCTGTTAATATAGAGAACAGAACAGATTAGGATGGATTAGACTGGAAAAAGATAAAAAACAATAGGAGTCTGACGTCCAAGGGGCTAAAAAAAACAAAAATTCTAAAACAAACATTGGAAGATATAAAATAAAGTCATGAGAAAATAAAATATAACTGGCTGAATTATCTGTGCAACCCACATTTAAGCAACACCATGTACATTCAGTATATCATCATCTGCAGCAGGAACCTTCACTTTTCTATTCTTACTGCGCAGATTTAGTTTTTTGAGTTTCTACAGCAGAGCGGCAGACCAACACATTCCCATCATGTGTTCAGCCTCTTTGTTTTTTCTCCAACTTTGAAAACGATAGAATTCATACTCACTGAGTTTCATTGAGTTCCTTCTTTAACCTCTTCACCACGGTGTTTCCTTTACCCTGCACCTCCAGTATCACTATCACAGTGTACCGAGCCATGATCTGACAGAACAGAGCAGCGTGATCAGCCATGAGCTTTATCATCTGCGTTCTTTAATTAAATGGCTGCTTATCAAATATAAAAAAGGTCTGTTAGACAACTCCCTGATTTTGGCAAGCTTATCAAAGGTGATAGCATTCATATTCATAATACTCCAGCGCAGGTTTCCGGCGTTATTTAGGCCCCTGGTTTTATCTTTGTGATATCTACTCTGTTATTTCTCAGTTTTTAAAGTTATTGTCCATTATTGTCATCGGGTTCGTTTATGTTTTACCTGTGTTTCCCAGTCCAGCCATGTTTGGCTCATGATTCAATCAATCATCTTTTCAAAATTAAGTGGCAAAAAGGAAATCAAGATCTGTTGCCCAAATAAATATTTGCATGATGTGATCTATACCAACACCAACCTCTTTAAAAAGCTACAGCTTTAAACTAGCAGAAATAAAAGAGTTTGTCAGACCTCCAAGCAACTACCCCACAGGCTTCTTTTCTGATGTGGCAGCGCATTAATTGTTTCGTCCACAGTTTTAATGGAAATCATTTCCCCCCTCATTGGTGAATAAAGGCCCTCTTACCTTGACAAGTTTGCCAACAACAAAGTCGTCTTTGACTTTTTTTGGTCCCAGGTTCTGCACGTTGAATGCAGCTATTTTCATTGTGACTTTATTTAAAAGAAAGAAAAGGATTACTTGTTTTTTCAGAGGAATATAGAGGATGCGTCGTTCACACAGAAATAAATCACAAGTTGAGATTGCGCCAAATTCTTCAAAGGAAAAAAAAAATTTGGCAACGGAAACTGTAAAAACGTCTGGTTGGTCAGTCTTTCCGCCCTTTGTTCAGCTCGCACACTCAAAATGAATGAAGTGAAATTTAGGCGGGAAGGTCAAATAATATGAACAGAAGATGAGTTCTCATTTTGGAGGCAAAAAAAAATATTCTATGGAGTTTACACAAGTTGCTGAGCATTAAATTAGATAAGGCAGAAAACACTTTATTTGCCTGAAAGTACTTTTGTCTGTGCCACAGGGAATTTTTTCCCTCTTCAAGGCACCGTCCACAGGATCCTATAAACCGATCACATTCAAATTTAGCACTTTTTATCCTAAAGATTTCATTCACCAGTTTCAGCACCAAGACTAATCAACACCCTGCTTCCAAGTTACCACATAAAAATTTTTTTTTTTTTTTTTTTAACCAGCAGTTGTTAAATGATGTGAAGATTGGGAAGTACTCACCGAGTGGTTTAGATGAGCCAGAAAGACACAACAGCAATGAGTGAATTCAAATCTACTGATTAAAGACAGAGTGACTATCAAACAGGCCGGGAGCGTTTGTGTTGACCACCAGGACAGCACTAAAAGCCGTTGAGCACCCTGCAGCCTTTTATACTGTGGCACACATTTCCTGTAAGTCCAGTATCAAGGAGTCTGCCCCTTCCTCATTCAAAATGATTCCACCCGGGAAAACGAAACTGATCACCAGAACAAAGAACTTTTGCCTGAAGTGAAACAGCAGAGGCAGACATGTTATAACATGTCTGTCACAGACAGAACAGATATCCCAATTATTTTCTGTACCAAAAACAATCAGTAAGGGTCTCCATGGACGTACATAGACCTGAATTCCTTCTTTCTACCCGTGATCCTCACAGAGAAAAAAAAAGTCAGAACCATGTTAACCAACCTTACAAGTGTTTCTGCTTAGCTTTATAATGAATAATGAGAATGACTGGGCAGGAAATATAATGATAAGTTAAAAAGAGGCAGAAAAAAGACAGACCTTTTTTTTTTTTCAAACATTAACAGTTATTTAATTACATCAAATATGAAAAACATCCATGGTTTTAGATTTTCCAGTCAACCTGATCACGGCAGGTTCCAAATTAAGCTGCTGCACACCGACTCCTACAGAAATCATTCTTCCATTTATTAGAATTGAGGGGTGAAGCTGGATCTGTAATAAATGCGAAATCGAATGTGCGGCTCGGCGCCGGCTCCTGTGGGGGAACCAGGGATTAAACGAGCTGTTAGGAGCCGGCTGGTGGAATGTTTCGGAGCAGAGCACCATGGGAAGCACGAGCAGGGTGGGAGATTCAGGGAAAAGATGATGGAGTGCGGCTGGTTGAACATGACCTTTTCGATCTGCGAAGGTTTCTTAATCCTGGCGGGGTAGGGGGGGGGGGGGGGGGGGGGGCTCGCTCTGCCTCTGTGTTTGTTTTTTCAGTCCTGACGTGCAGCATGTTTCTCTCATCCTTTTAAGGCCTGGGTTGTCCTTGTGGGGCCGGGGACTGCAGTATTGTGTGCGTTTGTGGGTCACTGCTCGTTCTGCTGCGTATCTGTGATGGTGGAGACGGCGCCCTGGCCTTTGCTGACATCACTGATACACGCCCACTGCCCGTCCATCGACTCCTTCCACAGCGTCACCTGCAGAGATGGAAAACAATGGACATGTAGCTCTGATGCTGGCTGATAGCGGCATTAAATTACGTCAAACTTTGTCTAAAAAAACCCCAAAGCGTCTTATTTCGTGACCCAGGACAGAGTGTTAAAGCTTTATACTATGAGACACATGAGAGGGTAATGTGATTTACTGTTTCTCTTCTACCTTGTTGTCTCCGCCCGAAACAGCCAGAATGTTGCCGGTGATGGACCAGCTGACGTGCCACACCACGTCGTTGAACTTGTGGAGCAGTTTGGCTGTCCAGGTGTTGCCGGCCGGGTCGTCGCAGGTCCAGATGAAGACGCGCCCGTCCTGGAACAAAAGGGAGAGCGCGTTTTTACATGATGCGCAAATAAGCGTAGAGAAGCTGACCGCTAAACAGAGGGCCTGGCCCCACATCTCACCTGGGAGCAGCTGGCGATAGTGCTGGTGGGCAGACCGATGGAGGGAGCCCAGCCCACGTCTCTCACCCAATCACTGTGCGCCTCCAGCTTCTGGTCCTCCTTCCACTGGCCGTCCTCCTCCCTGCAGGAGGTCACAAACTGTAAGCTGCCCGAACCTTTACACGTTTATTTTCTAATCAGATTCAAAGGGTTATTCTTCAAATATTTCCATTTGTATCACGATATTCTAACTATTGAAAACGATACGAAAAAAAAACGTACTTCCAAAGTTTTACCAGGTTGTCGCAGCCCCCAGAAACAAAGCGTTTCACATAGTTTGGCTTCTGTCCTGATGGCTGATCGATCAAACTGCCCGGAACCACAGCCGGAGCCCAGCTCACAGCGTTGCAGCCGATCTGCAGAAAAAGCACGGCTCAGCGTGTGGGAGCAGGAATCTGCCCCAAAACATGGCGAATGGGGAACACACTTCGTAAACCAGTTCATGTCCACATCGGTGGGACTCACCGTGTGCGCGTTGCTGATCTTTTTGACATCCCACTGTTGGTCTCCGGTGAACGTGAGGAGGGAAATGGCTCCGTCTGAGCTCCCGCAGGCCATGATGAGGCCAAACTCGTAGGGACCCCAGCAGACAGAGTTCACTGTGGGCACACAGGAAGAGAGAGGGGGGTTGTTTTAATGAGGGGTCAAGCTGATCTGTCAGTCCTCCATTAAAACTGTGGTCACAGACAAAGGTTTTGCATTTGTGTTTCTATGGAAGGGAAACAAAGAGATAAGTAAACTGTGGTTGGGGGAAAATACAGATGCTGCATCAAGCACCGAAGGTCAGATGTTATAAAACATGATAAGAAACATGGATTACACACAAAAAAGGTCAGAAAAGAGCAGCCACAGAGACCTGGAAACAGTCTGTAGACATGACAAAGGGAAAACACAAAAAGGTCTTCATAGTTTCATCCATCCATCCCATCCAAGGATGATGGCACCCATTTTTATTCAGAGTGAATTAATATTTCATAAAACATTAAGCTCACATGAGATAAAATTCCTCATGTTGAAATTAAAGAGGCACCCTTCCGGCAAGTGTATGGATGAAAGGCTTTCAATGAAAGCGTCATACGACATTGTATATGATAAGAAACCCACAAGCACCTGGACTTCTCCTCCAGAGAGTCACAAGCGGATCAGGATGGAGGGAGAACATATTTTAAATCAGTGAACCACCGACCTGACGACTCGTGTCCGGTGTACTCGTACATCTTGTCCCACGCTCCATTTTCCTCCTTCCAGATGATGACTTTTCGGTCGTAGGAGCAGGAGGCCAAGATGTTGCCAAACATCGGGTGGGCCCACGCCACCTGCCACACGGGGCCCTCGTGTCTGCACAAAACACACCTCAATCAAACGAACGCACAGCTCCAAGCCTGTGAGAGTAAGTTTATAGAGCTGCCAAAAGGCCGAAGAACAAATACATAATTAAGGTTTTCACTCGAGTAAATAAATTAATTCTCAGAAAAAACAGCTTTACTGCCACAACAAGAATTTAGTTTAGAATCTAAAATAGAAAAATACCAACAAGACATCCAACTACTCCATTAAGGGAGAAATTATAAGTAGTTTCTAATTTTTGTCTCCTGGTTTTGTAGTAGAGCCTTTTTACCCTCTTAGGTCTGCCACCAGAATCTGTCCTCCGTTCCTGACATCAAAGATCTTGACAGTTCGGTCAGAGGAACACGTGGCGAGTCGAGTTCCGTAATAATCCATCTGGGCATCGTGCTGAAATATAAACAAAAATGAAAATAAAGAAACCACAACTCATCCACAGTTTCTTCCTTTAGCAGCAAAATGACCAAAAGGTAATTTGGAGATTGTAAAATGTAATCAAACATATGTCCATTTTACAATAAAAAAACTGGATGGTTCCAGCTTCTCAAGTGTGAGAACTTTCTGCTTTACTTGGTCTCCATCTAACTGGGTTATTTTTAAATTAACCAGCTTTAAAATAATAATAAAGACAATTCACTAAAACATTGTGCAGAGACACACAAATGTGATTCTTTCAATCAAAAGCAATAAAGAAATACAGTAAACTCTGTATTAAGAAAAATCTTACAAAAACATACATGTTTAAACTTAGGGCTTTCATTTGACTTTTGAATCTTATCCACTGAAAATCATTACATGATTATGTATATTCTTCAGTTTACTTAGTTTAATTTTTTCTCACTTTCTTTCAAGCAGCTATACTTCAAGTCTGGGATATTTTTAGTTAAACAATAGGAATAACACTTTAATGTAGACAAATCATACAGAGAGTAAAAATATTTAGCGAGGCCATATCTATATTTGTGGTCATCAAAGCAGAGCCGAGTAACTGCTAACATTAGCCAATCGTCTTTGACAACCTAAAATACTTACGATCATGTCCTCGTGCGAGGTGTCAACTGTGTTGATAACAGAGACCTATAATGCACAAACAAAAACAAACATACACAGCATTAGGGATAAAAAGATGAACACCATATCTCTGTAAATTAGCCACACTGCTAGCCGGTTGCTAACGACTTGGGCACGTCAGCAGCTAACGGTAACCTTTAAACGGCACGTACGTCCTCCGACAGATCCACAAAAAGGAGGAATTAAAATTAATAGACTCACCATGACTGCGACTAAAGATGAAGCACTCCAGAAAAAGTGTACCCTTGTGTATCTAAAGTGAATAAACCAGGTCTACTATCCGACGTGGCAACAAGTCCTACAAGAAACCGCTTCGACAGTGTGCCACATTACTTCCTAACACCGGAAACAAGAAAGGCCAACAAAGGTTCCAGATGTACATTGACGCAGTCAAGAAAACAAATAAATAAAGAACAAACATATTTTTTAAAATAATTAAGAGTAAATACAAAAAACTAACTTAAACTGATTAGCTTGGCTAAGATTTAATAAAACTAAGAATATTACTATTATTATATCAAGAAAATATTGTTTTTTGCAACATCACAGACCACCTGAGTTGTAAATATTTATGATTCAGAATGAAAATATTATATTTTAACGAAGCCTGAGCATATTGTCTGATGGTAAAATATAAACAGTAAATAGTTTATTTCAGAACTTTTTTTTTTCTATTTTAGATACAATGATTTATTTTACTTTACTCTTTTTCTTGTATACCTTCTTACTTTTGAACAAAAAGACTTGCTTCTTTCATTCAAAGTTTGACACTTGAAACTGGTTTCATTCATTTTTTGTAAAGAGGATGATAATAGTTATTAAGAACCATGTGCGGACATAATCGGTATTTTCATCTTTTCAGTTAAAAATGGCTTTTAGTTACAAGCAGTGACTCAGCTGTGATACTCCGTCTGTCCACAGGGGGGCGGTATACATCGCACACACCCCGTCCCGGCGGCTATTTTTACCCGGGCCCACCGTCTCTGGTGTCGGGTTCCAGCGGCCGTTAGCTCTCCTCTGTGCCCACCACTCACGCCATGTTGTCAGGGTGAATCTGTTGCCACAGTTTCCTGACTTTTACCTCAGATCAAAAGTTCGTTTCCGGGCCGTGTCAGCTGTCAAAGTTCGACGATGTCGAGTGTGTCGTACCTCATCTCCAACCTGTTGGAGAAAATGACATCTACTGACAAAGACTTCAGGTACAGTAAGAAGCAGCTGACAGTGAGATGACACATTTCACTCCAACTGATGTAACGTGTGTGGCATCTTATTACTCCGTGGACATGTCTGCCCTCTCTCTTAAAGGAATTTCAAAACTTTTTTCCAGAAGCAGACACTAACACTTAAAGACAGCCGTTAGTAGAAATGTAACTACAGAGATAACTTTAGTTTTTATTGAATGGTTCCCATTAGTTATTGGTTGGAAAAAGTGTTTGAAAAAGGGTTAACAGTTATATTTTTGCTTTGCATTTTCCAGCAAACAGCCAAACTACCATTTCTGAATGATTATAAGTGTGGGAACACATTTAAACAATTAATATCTGCATAAAAGTGACCAAAAACGTCACAAAAAATAAGCCGATGAAGCAGTTAGTTAAAAATGACTCTGCTGGAGACTCTAAACCTTTCTGATAGCTCTTTATTACTCATGGAGATTAACTTCAGTATTAAATAGAATAACAATTTAAATGCTTTTCAGTATAGAACCACCCTATCTATTTTTGTGTCTTTCCTCAAAGGAGCTGCTCAGTTTAAGTCCCTCTACCACATTTTACGCATTATGATTGGATATTCACTTACTCACCTCAAAACTTGAACGCTGCTGTTTTTAAACAGTTTTGGTTGAAAAAGAGTCTATTGCTTTGTGATATTTTCTCTTAAATATATTGTATAATTCAGAATGACATCGTTGAGGTACTGATGATGATCCTTTGGATTTGAACTCTTATTTGGACTGGTGTGAAAAAATAATGACATTTTATGTTAAATCTTTACCCAAACCGTGGTGTTTTTGAAGTTTAAACATAATAATCTTTAAATCTGATATTGCTAAATAACTGAAGCAAGTTACTGTTAAAAAAAGGAGACTCAAACTGTTTTTATGAGTGGGTCTTTTTGGTGAAGTCTACTGAGGATCAGTTTCTGTTGTTTGTCCATAGATCTTTCTTTTTCTTAGACTAGTTGAAAATATGAGATTCAGATCAGAGTTGCATTCTAAGATGATCCGTATGGATGCGCACGTGAAGGGCCTGAGCAGAGATTGGTTTTTATGGCATCCGTGCTGCTTCCCCACAGCTGAAGGGGGAGCCAAAGCGCCAAACGCCATAAACCTTCACTTCCATAAGATAACAGACACACGGCCAACAAAATGCTTTCATCCTCAGTTTGACAGTAGCTGGTGCTTTCTGCAAAACAAAAAGACTCATGTGATAAATAATCACCGGTCTGTCCGCTAATGAGGGGGGGGGTTGTGTTCCTCCAGGTTCATGGCCACCAACGACCTGATGCTGGAGCTGCAGAAGGACAGCATCAAACTGGACGAGGAGAGCGAGAGGAAGGTGGTGGCCATGCTGCTCCGGCTGCTGGAGGACAAGAACGGAGAGGTGCAGAACCTGGCGGTGAAATGGTAAAACTTCACAAACGGGCTCAGCGAACAGCCAATCGCTCACATCTGGGCAGACCGTCCTGATAGACAAGTGTCTCAGAGAGAGGAGGAAACACAGCACTGTTCAGCGTAAACATTCATCATTCGCCTGTTACTCCCCTCAGTTTTTACAGTTTGAGCCCCTTTAAAAACAGCTATTCATCCGACCATCATTTGTAAAAATCTGGTCCTTTGGGACTGGAGTTTGACATCCCTGATCTAGACCTTATACACCCTTCCAGATGCATTACCTCATATCGTGCATGTTTTTTCCTTCTAGATAATCCGTTTTGATTATATTCTGTAAGAAACTGCCAACAGCAGCTTTTCAGCATCAGAACGGGGCTGAAGGTTTATTAGCAATGAGGGATGGCGAGTTTATTTGTACACAAGGCAATCCCAAGTGTTTTACATCACACAATTACAAAAGGCAAATAAAAGTAATAAATCACAAAGAAAATAATTTGTTATTAAATTAGAAGGGAAGAGTACAGATGAAACACTTTCAGTTGTCGTATGCACAGCTAAATAAAACTGTTTTCAGCCCGGATTCAAACATTTACAGCTGAGTCTCACTTCTTCAGGAAGACCTTTTCAGGTTTTAAGAGCCAAAAACTGCGTCTACTTGTTTTCATTTGTCCAATTAAAAAACAAGTCAACTAAAGAATTCTCCTTTTATGGTATTTGATGCCAATAATTTGAATAGTGCTTTAATAATCGGTATAAATTCAGTAAATACATTGTTTACAGGTTGTTGTTTTTTTTACTGCATTATGAAAAGCATACTTTAGATTAAGGAATAAAATAGTAATACATTTGAATAAAAATGAAGCTCAGAAGTTGCCTTTTTTTTCTGTTGTGGATTTTGCGAATCATATTGTATATTGTAGTTCAACTGATTTAACTGGTTTTGTTTTCAGCCTGGCCCCTCTGGTGGGGAAGGTGAAGGAGCCTCAGGTGGAGGCCATGGTGGACGCTCTGTGCTCCAACATGGCGTCCGATAAGGAGCCGCTCAGGGACATTTCCAGCATGGGGCTGAAGGCCGTGATCGCCGAGCTGCCGCTGTCTTCGTCGGGTGAGGGCCGTTCCAGGGCAGTTTGCAAATGATCTTAGTTTTTTTTGTTTTTTTGCTTTGAAAACACGAGGCGGTTTTTCGAGCAACAGCTGTTACTCATGAACCAAATCCGAACCAAAACACTCACTGGAGCATCTCTGTCCCTCAACATGGCCGCCGCCTTTCTCACACGGAGCAAATTCTAATAGGTGTAACATTAGAGGATGAGAACCCAAAAAAAAACAGATTTCTGACTGCATTGGGAGACGTCTCCAGCCTTAAACCTGTAGAAATTGTTTGGAGTATGCGAGCGATGTTTCTTTTTAAATCTTCCTCTGGGCTCTTGTGTCTTTGTGGGCTGACAGGTCTGACTCTGACGGCCAGCGTGTGTAAGAAGATAACCTCCCAGCTGATCAGCGCTTTGGGAAAACAAGAAGATGTTTCCGTTCAGTTAGAGGCCCTCGACATCCTGTCGGACATGTTGGGAAGGTAAATGTGGTCTTCATTTATGTTTAGCAGACTCCCCTATCCAAGGAGAATGAACAGTGCAGGGCAATTTAAAGAGCACTCTGTGATAAACAATCATGAAATCAGGGACTCTGCTGAGGGAAAATGCAGATCTAGAAGTTGGTTTAGACCCGCTCTGGGTTAGTCGTGGAGCTGCTGACCTGTCTGATGGCTAACTGAAGTGTTTTTCTCCCTGCAGGCTCAGTGGGGCACTGGTCAGTTTCCACAGCTCTCTGCTCTCCAGCCTCCTGCCTCAGGTACCGTTTAGAGCAGTGTTTTTCAACCTTTTTTGAGCCAAGGTACCAAGGTTTTTCATTGAAAAAATCTCGAGGCACACCACCAGCCAAAAATGTTTAAACAAATCTGTAGCCGCCTATAGTAACACTATAGTTATTCTTATTTTATTCTTATCTTATCTTAAGTGTCTAGAATAGGAATCAAATAAAAAACAAAAATGTATTTTTATCATATTTTATATTTCTTTTTTCAAATTGCACTTAACATGTCCACTTCAATATACAAAATTATATACAAAATCTAGTCATAAGGAATTATTACATGATTACACCACCAGTCACTAGAACAACACAGACACTCAAAAATGGCCTATTATTTGCAGAAAATTAATTCCTTATCAAAAAAGATTTTTAGACCAATTAGGTGAAATAGGATGATTTTCTACGGCACACCTGATGATCACTTGCGGCACACTAGTGTGCCGAGGCACAGTGGTCGAAAAACACTGGGCTAGAGCTTACGGTCAACCGATGGCCTTCCTCACACATTCAGTTTGTGTCGAATAAGGGGAAAACGGGATAGCGAGGATAGTTCTGTTCCGGCTTTAGGAGTGAAGGGTGTAGGAAAGAGCAACGAAAGCAAAACTTTTCAAAGTAAACTGTCTGTTTCAGCTAACGAGCCCCAGGATGGCGGTCAGGAAGCGCTCCATCCTGGCCCTGGGTCAGCTGGTGCCCGGCTGTAGCCCCGCCCTCTTCTCCCAGCTGACCGAGCACCTGCTGGCAGAGCTGTCGAAGGGCCCCCCCACCGCCATGACCAGGACCTACATCCAGTGCTTGGCCACTGTCAGTCGGCAGGGTGGCCATCGAGTTGGTGAGACTCAGTTTATGGTGCATTTATTGTAGTTTTAGGAAAAAGAATGTAGAGAAATGCAATATCTTTATTTCACTGAGGGCTATTAAACTGGTCTGTAAAGTCATCACTTAAACACTTTTAACCTGAATTACAAATTTGATTCAGTCATTTGTGCTTAAGTTGTGGGTATTTTGGCGATTTTGCATATTTATAGTAAAGGTGACCGTTATGTTTAATGCCTACAGAGTATTTTCATTATGAACATGTCATGCATAGAGAAGTTATAAAGAGGGGCTTTACTGTGGGAGTGGAAAATATAAGAACAGAAATCCACTCAGACAATAACAGAGAAAAGGCTCAAAACCAAACTTCAAACCAAGATAAAAAAGCTCAAACCACACGCATTTCCTGAATGAATCTTAGCTGTAGCTTGTTTTTTTCCTCCTGTGTGTGTGCTGCAGGTGAACACTTGGAGAAGCTGATCCCAATGGTGGTCAAGTTCACCGGCGTGGAGGACGACGAGCTCCGGGAGTACTGTTTCCAGGCCTTTGAGGCCTTCTTGCGCAGGTGTCCGAAGGAGATGTCCCCTCACGTCGCCACGGTGACCCAGCTCTGCCTCAAGTTCATGACCTTTGACCCCAACTACAACTACGACGGCAGCGAGGAGGAGGACGAAGACAGCATGGACGTGGAGGACGGACTTGACGAAGGTTGGTGATGCGCCTGACCGGCCAGATGGCTGTTTGACCATCTGGTCCCAGCCGATTCACAGGCGAATTTAGAAGAGAAAACGCTTTATTATGGGTGGGTTTGTTACAGAAAAACATGAATGGGACATTTACCCTGATACACTACCTGTGTAAGGGACCCATATACCATAAATGATTAAAAAAAAGGGATGTTTCTGTCTCTGATTTTCGTAATTGGAAGTAACTGCTTCTCATCCCGCGTCCAGATTCAGACGACGAGTACAGCGACGATGACGACATGAGCTGGAAGGTGCGGCGCTCGGCCATAAAGTGCCTGGAGGCTCTGATCAGCACGCGCCGGGACCTCCTCCTCTCCTTCTACTCCTCCATCTGCCCGGTTCTGCTGGTCCGGTTCAAAGAGCGCGAGGAGAACGTGAGGGCCGACGTGTTTTCCGCCTTTTCAGCTCTGCTGAGGCAAACCCGCGCGGGCTCCGCCCATCAGGGCCTCATCACGGCCGCCTCAGCGCCGGGGGGGGCCGGCAGGGAGGAGGAGCCAGCAGTTTCCCTGCTCAAAAAACAGGTCTGGCAACATTCTCAGAAAGTTTCACCATTAAATTTCACCATTAAACGTCCAATATTTGTCTGTGGGGCGGTTCCATCAAAGGTCCTGCTGCTGTAGCCTTGTAGTTTTTGCATTTATGACATAGGAGCATAAATGTACCTTTCAGGACTTCTAAAAGTACAAATTGCCGCCTTGGGGTCGTTATTTTCCATATAGGGTACCCAAGTAGTGAGGGAGGCATGAATGTACTCCCACTGGGCCCCATTTTTTTTTTACAGTAAAGGCTCACAAAGCGTTTAAAAGTCTCTTTATGTTTTTAGCTAAACTCTGAAACAAAACACAACAAAATGAATTTGATTCAAAGTCAATTGATATTTAAATTCCAGTGTGAAAAAGCATTTTGTTTTAAAAGAATGAATCCTTTTTTTCCAAGTCCGAAAATTGTGATCACTGATCTGTGTGCAGAAGAAGAACAAAAATGACCCTTTTTGTGAAATGTGACACATGACTTTTAGGGCTGAGCTGAGTAAATGTGTCTCTGGGTCCAGATTCCGGTGATCGTGAAGGCTGTCCACAGACAGCTGAAGGAGAAGAGCCTTAAGTCTCGGCAGGGCTGCTTCTGCCTCCTCACCGAGCTCGCTCACACTGTTCCTGGAGCCCTGGAGGAGCACATCCCCGCTCTCATACCCGGTAAATGCACACACACTCACAGAGAGCCTAAAACCTTTGCTAAATTCACATTAACTCATTCGCTGCCAAAGACGTCTATAGATGTCTTTTATGTTTTTCAACGCGAGTGACTTGGGGGACGATTCGCTGAAGATTGTCCCTAAATATCGGCTTCTAGACAGAGTATGTAGTAACAAATTGACCCTCTAGGTCGCAGTGCCACTTTTGATCGGAGATGCGCATAGATTGTAGGCAAATAAAAAAAATGCAATGGTTTGCTATGTGTAAAATGGCGCCGGTGAGATGCAAGTCGAGGAAGAACGGAATAAGGTAGAAACCAATTTTTTTTCCTGATGAAAAAAGAGAGTCTACTCTTTCTTTTGGTGTGTTCAGTGTTTACATAGTCATGGCTCAAACTATTCTGTGGCTCTTGAAAAATCAGTCAATATGCTCAAAAAACTCTGACAGTATGGGACTCTGTTCTGAAAATGGTTGGCAGTCAATGAGTCAATGTGGTTTCAAACTGTACTGTGCTGTGGCACTAAAAATCCACACACGTTTTTCTGTCTGTGGCTTCTTCCATCCCTTCTCTCTCCAGGAATCATCTTCTGCTTGACAGACAAGTCCACCTCCTCCACCATGAGGATCGATGCTCTCTCTTTCTTCCACGTCCTCCTCCTCTCACATCCTCCTCAGGCCTTTCAGCCACACATGCAGGTTTTTCACACCTCCTCGAGTATCTCGTTTTGAGTGTGTGCTTAGTTATATTGAACATGCAGATTGTCTAAAACTCTGAGAGAGGCCACATGCAAGTGGGCTATTTAATAATTTGATTTGAATGAACATATGAGTTAAATGCGTTGTCTCTGTTAGTGTCTGTATGTCTTGTATGTTCTTAAAAGTGGTTTGATTGACCAAAAAAGATAAAAAGGTTCAAACACATCTGGACAGATCAGTTTGAAGAAGTAAAACATCTACAAGTATGCCATTTAAAAAAAAAAAAAAATTACCGGATTCATTTAGTATTTTATGTCAGTTTGAGTACATCTCAGTTTCATAAGAAAATTTCTATTTAGAGCCAATGCCTTTTAGAAACAAATCTGTAAAACAAATGTGTATTTTTGTGCAGATATAAACCAAAGTACAGTTATTAAGTGAAGGACTGAACAAGCCAGCATTCGATCCTACAAAACTGAAGTAGTGAGCCTGTAAGAGAAAAAGAAATCAATGAAATAAAATGAAAATAACATAGAATGGAAAAAAAGGCTTTCCCCAAATGGGAGCGTGGGGGGTGGTGGTGTAACATTTCTTATTGTGGCCTCTGCTGTGGTCCCTGCAGGTGCTGCTGCCTGCAGTCTTGGCGTGCGTGGAGGACACTTTCTATAAGATCACGTCGGAGGCTCTGCAGGTCACCCAGCAGCTGGTCAAAGTGATGAGGCCGCAGGGACTGACCGCCACCGCGGGAGCATTCGACCCCAAACCGTTCGTCAAGGAGGTGCTCACGGCTGTTTGCTCCGATCTGTTGGCTTTTAATTTGACTGTTCTGTACGTTCCTGGAATTTCTTTTTTTAGACTAGGGTTCAAGGAGTTCATTAGCTGTTGGGGGTGCCACCTGGGGGAGTGGAATTATCCTTATTTTTTTATATGAGGAAAGAACAGTAACGGTTAGAAGCTGATGAAGCCACTGAGCTGATCTGAATCAAAAAACCTTATTTATTTATCTTTAACCTTTTAAAATGTTGCTTACCGGTTGTATTGACTTTAAAGACAACAGAGGGAGGATGTGTGTTCTATGACACGGAAGCAGAGCTGCAAGTTTACAGCTTTAATCAGGGTTTTCTGTCAGGAAGAGAAATGCAAACTCTAAACGGAGACGAATCTCCTGCAGAGCCAGAGGAGGAAAATGAATGGGGGGTGTCAGCTTACTTCCTAGTGAGAATGCATAGTTTCAATATACAATATTTCAAATCTCGAACCAAGCAGCAAACCGAGCAGAGGGGCTCTCCTCCTCATGTGTCTCGCATTTCCTGCTCATAAGCTCTCTGTCATGAGATATTACAAACACAAACAAACTGCTTTCAGAGTGAGCAAAGATTTGGTTTTTCTTTCACGAAACTGTCACAGTCCTTGGACAAAAGGGGGGGGGGCAAAAACTGAATGACTACCAGGGGCTGATGGCGTAAAAAGGTTAGCAACGGAACCAACAGAGACATCAAGCAAGGTGCAGACTGATAAACACGATGATCAGGTGGAGAATAAAAGAACATGTTGAAACCGGGTTAAATGGAAGTAAACTAAATAATGAGCAGGTTTGAAGACGTTGGAGAGACAGAATGGAAACCTGAATTTAAAAAAAACAGACCGCGACCACAACCTCCTCAGCTGAACGGAGAAGGACTCAATCTGGGTCCCAACTGTCCTGTTTTACACAAGACCCAGAGATTTATGAGCTGTTTGAAAGGCAGAGCCTCAGCTTTGCTCTTTCCGCTTTGTGATAGCTTCTCGCTGCAGCTCAATTCGCCACACGGCACTTTCCAAAGGCCGTATATCACCGGTTTAATGAAGACAGCTTACGTGTGCTCGTAGATGTGTGGCTGTTCGTGGCGAAAGACCCAAACAGTGAATGAAACAGACAGGAGGCAGCTGGATGAAGACAGAAAAAAAAATACTGCACCAAGCCTAGGCAGAAAACTAATCAGAACTGCTTTAGGGGGGTTTAGACCAATGGATGCAGGTTAGTAAAAAGCAAAAGGGAATGGATGGTTCAATTATTACCGGGTTACAAACTCAAGACAACTCAGCTCAGCAGGTAATTAATTTCATAACCAGAATACAAACACAAGAACTGGAGTAAAGAAAAAGAGGATTAAAATAAACGAGTGTAAAGAGCACCGCGATCCAAAATTCAAACAAAGAGGAAGCCAAAAACAACAGATCATAACATTCATAGACATTGTGAAATTCTCCTGAAAGGGAGTCATGAGGGATAATCTGGGGGTCATGACAGTCACTGAGCTGTTGGCTGCTTTTGTTCCATTTCAATTCAATATTTTGAAGTGGGAGTCATTAATAGGCAGAAATGGGAATCTGTGTCTTCATTTGTACGTGCAACATTTGGAGATTCTGCTTCTCTGTGGACGGATGTGATAGTTTATAGTTTATAACTTTATTGACGCTTTTAAAAATGCTATTTTTACAACTATAAATCTGTATTTTCCACTTCTGTTTGGTTGTTCCTTTTCTCCTCGGTCAAAATAAACGAAAAACAAGATTTTTCCTTTATTTTCCAAAAACTAACACTGAGAAAAATTTGTTATGTTCTAATTTGCTACGCTAACTATGAATTGGATGGTATCTATATGATGTTTAAGCTTCTGATTGGAAGTGTGGACTTGTCCTGGAAGGCTTTCTTGCCCTTTCAGTGACTCCTCTCTTACCATAGAGGAGTCTGTTTTTGTTGACATTGTTTTATGTTGCATTTCATTTATACTTTGTTCCTGTTTTTTTGTCCTCTTTTACTTATTTTTCTTGGCTTGGCTTTTGTTTGGGCCCAGATGTGTTCTATTGTGTCACCTGTTCTTCATCAAATGTTGTCCCCCACCCCCAAGGTGTTTTCAGTTACAATGAAGAGGCTCAAAGCAACAGACATTGACCAGGAAGTGAAAGAGAGAGCTATTTCCTGCATGGGTCACATGGTGTGCCACCTTGGCGACCACCTGGGGCCGGAGCTGCAGGGAGTCTTGGCGATCTTTCTGGAGAGATTAAAAAATGAGATAACACGGCTCACGGCGGTTAGAACCATCACCCTCATCTCTGCTTCTCCTCTCAAGGTTCAGTCTGACCCTATTTTTCCTTTTCAAAGCAGCATACTTCTTATTCAACTCTTTCTTTTTAACGTAAAACGAGCCGCCCTCCCTTTCCAGATTGAGCTGTCCTCCATCCTGCCAGAGACGGTGTCTGTGTTGGGGTCCTTCTTGAGAAAGAACCAGCGGGCCCTGAAGCTGGGCACGTTGGCGTGCCTCACCTCGCTGGTCACCCATCACTCTGCCAGCATCAAGCCCGCCGCCCTGGAGCCCATGCTGAGCGAGCTCCCCCCCCTGGTGGATGAAAGTGACATGCACGTGTCTCAGGTGCAGGATTCACGCCGCTCGCAGCTTTAAACTCGAATCCCTCAGCAGAGACGAAAGTTCTCGTTGGATAAAACTCAAAAGTTCTCGGAGGGTCGGAAGTAAAAATTGGAATTTGGTTGCACTTTTTCAGGACATGTAGTTGTTCCTGATTGTGACTCCCGATATCTGCACATATTTCACAAAACTTATACAGAAAGGAGACTTTTGGGCTCAAAAGTCTAAGTAGTGATGTGTAGTTTGCTCCAGAACTCCACAATTACTCATATTCAATGGCTGTATGTCGGTTGCTACTTCAACCAAAACCCATCAGCTTCTCTGTGTAACTCTGTTGGAGTGTATGAATATGTAGTGAAATGTGAAAGTTAGAAGAATATCGTTTTAGACTAAAGAGTCATGGATACTGCACATTTTCAGATGAGAGTGTGGACAGCCAGTTCTGGAGTAAAGAGCGTGTAGATGACAGGATATGTGACCTAAAAATGGATAAGTGTGTTTTATTTACAGTGTCAACCACACAGATTCATGCCAGTAAGGGCATGTGCTTGGGGTTAACGCTCAAACAAACGAAAGCACACAGGACTCATTCTGATGGCCAGTCACTTAATATTCATCTAGGCCAGTTCAGATTCTATATGTGGAAAGCTTTTCATAATGCTATGTGACATTAACGTAACTGACAGATGATCAGCTGTCAACAACACAAAGTTCTGAACAGATAGGGTTTTTTTTTCACTCATTGTGCGACTCTGCTCAGGTATCCATCACCTTGCTGACATGTTTGGCCAAAGCCTGCCCCTCATCTCTGGCTAAAATCAGCTCGTCCGTGCTCCCGGGGGTCTTCAGGCTCATTCACTCCCCGCTGCTGCAGGGCGGCGCGCTGCTGGCCATTCTGGACTTCCTCCAGGCCATAGTCCAGTCCAAGGCCACTAACCTGGGCTACAGGTAAGGTGCCACGTGATGAAGAGCTCACGTGTCCACACCGAGTAAAAACATGACTTTGGTGGGAAAGCTGCTTATGGTTGTTAGCTTCTTGTGTTTTGTTTGTAATACTTTTGTTGACCCATAAAGGTTTTGAATAGCCGATAATGATCGCGTAGTTTAAAAAGTGACGTAGCAAATAAACATGTCTTTTTGCCAGCACTCTGAAATCAAAATAACCCAATAAGTCAGTGATTCCCTCAGGCTTGGACACAGCTGTTATTTCATCAAGTGGCAGAAAAACCATCCAAAACCCACAATGCTGAAGTCACTTTGGGCGATTAGAAGCTATTATATTTATTACAGAATATGAAACAGCGCAGCGAAACTTGATCAGCGCTCCCCCCCCTGCGTCACCAATCCAGATTATATCGTGTCTGGAGTGTGTTAACATCAGTCTGAGTCATTTCTGGGCCAGGTCTGCGTTATTTTTACAGAATTCATATTGAAGCGCAATTGCAGTTTTCAAGGGGAACTCCACAAATTCTATAGATAAAGATCATTTTGGCTAATCACAGGCAATAATACTGAGTTAGGAAAAAGAGGGTGTAATGTCTTTTGTGGATTTGCTGCAGATTTGTCAAGAAAAAGATTTAGTCTGGTCTTTTCATGCCAATTTAGGCAGAGTGAAACCAAACTAAACCTAAAAGCAAAGCAGGCGGCATGTTAGATTCCCCCATGTTGACAGACCTTTCATCAGACAGACTAAGTGTTGTTTTTGTATTATTATGGATGAATAAATTGTGGTGTTTTTTTAATCTTTCTGTAGCACTTAATGCAGCACATTTAGATAATGTGTCATTTGACTGATGTCTATTAAGGTATGGGATGAGTTAAATGAACAATGAGGCTGTAATCCTGTCTTCCCCAGTCAGCTGCTAAAGTCCCTGACCGAGCCCTTTCAGAGCTCCAAGTCCTCTGTGGACAGCAGCGTCCTGCACAGACAGTCCTACCACTCCGTGGCTCGCTGTGTGGCTGCTCTGTCCTCGGCTTCTCCCAAAGACACGCCCGGCACTGTGAGCGGCCTCATACAGCAGGTGAGTCTCTTATCTTCCATAAACTCTTGAAGACCCACCTCTTCAAAGAGCATCTCCTATCCTAATCCTAACCTGTACCTCTACCCACCCCACAACTCCTTCTGTGGTCCCCTCTACCTCTTTCTCTTGCTGTCACTACTGACTCTGATCAGTGTTTCTCCTCTGTATAGCTTATTGTCATAGTGATGAGAAATGTAATATTGTGTCTACTCTGTAAGTCGCTTTGGATAAAAGCGTCTGCCAAATGCATAAACATAAACATAAACATTATGCTCTGTTTTGCCGCTATCCTGCATAGCTTTTTGAAATTATTTGAATCAACCCCATCTTTAGGTCCACTCTGCATTTCTTCAGCCGTAAAAGCGTCTTAAATATCTTATTATTGAAATTACATTTGAATTTTCTTGGTAATTAGAATGAAAATTAGAGTGACCTAAAAAGACAAAAACTCTGACTTTCATCAGTATTGAATTGTTTTGAAGAAGCAAGGTGTCCGACAAACCTTTGATTTGTTTAAGCTAATATGGATGCTTTTGCTTCGTATCTTTGGCCTGTTAATGAAAAAGAAAACACGAACACTCTCCTCATCCTCTCAGGTGAAGAGTCCCGGCTCTCCGGAGTCTGCTCGGGTCCTGGCTCTCCTGTGTCTGGGGGAGGTGGGGCGGAGCGGCAGCAGTCTGGGGGGGGGTAAGGAGGTGCAGGGCGTCATCCTAGAGGCCTTCTCCTCCACCAGTGAGGAGGTAAGACTCTGCAGACTAACGTTATTCAGAAATGTTATGTGGAAATGTTTTTTGGTATGAACGTCTGATCATATGTGGTAAAAAACGTCTCAGCAAAAGATCCCTTTAAAATGTGACCATGCTCATTATTATCATCTATTGAGTTAATCAAGACTAGAGATTATCATAGATACATTTTTAGCTCTTTAGGTGTCGTTGAACTACTTTTAATGTCAGATAAAAAAGAGGGAGAAGAGTTATTGTAGGCTGCATGACACGAGGAGAGGAGTGTTGTGTGGATCCCTCTTGAGCAAATAGAAATCAGATGATGTTAGATGTGGCTTTTGGTGGTTAAGTGTCCTGTTTGTGTATACAGGTGAAGACAGCAGCCTCCTGTGCTCTGGGCAGCATGGCGGTGGGGAACCTGAGCGAGTACCTGCCCGTCCTGTTGAAAGAGATCTCAGCTCAGCCGCGCAGGCAGTACCTGCTCCTACACTCACTCAAAGAGGTCATCAGGTGGGTGGATTTCGGACTGAACTCTGCCTCTTTGTTCACGCTAAAAAATACTTTTGAATTAAATGAATTATTTTTGTCTCTAATGATCCAATCTGTAAATTTAAGTATTTTTTAACAACTTCATGTGTGTTGTTGTCTCAAACCACAAAATAAGTGAGGGAATTAAAGGTGATTAAGTTATCTTTACAATACATCTCTTATCAAGTGCAGTTCAAACCAGAGTCCCTTTAAAGTTAAACTCAAATGTGCCTTTTTTTCTCTTGGCTGAATGTCTTTTTCTTGTCCCCGCTCAGCGACTGTCCAGCCTCTAGTCTCACGCCCCACGTGGAGTCTATCTGGGCTTTGCTCTTCCAGCACTGCGAGAGTCAGGAGGAAGGGACCAGGAACCTGGTGGCTGAATGTTTGGGAAAGCTGACGTTAGTCAACCCGGCACAACTTCTGCCCAGACTCAGACAGCAGCTTAAAGCGGGTAAGATGGACGTCAAGGGGGACTCTCATTCCTTTACAAACTTAAATCCAGCATCTCATGCAGAAAATATTTGACATAGCAGACACTCATTAATTCATCATTTGGTGAAAAGAAAAAAGAAAAAGGCAAATGAACTATAAACAATGAAAACACTGAAAAACTTTTAAAATTAAAAAGAAAAACAGACGAATGGCTGGGCTGTGAAATGCCGACACAGCTACTCCACAAAAAACTTCACTAGTCTCCATTCTTAACGATGGAGCTCTGTTGTCCACTCCACTATCTAAAGGTCAAACGTTCCGGAAAGTTTGTGTAAATAAGGCTTTAGAAGGTTTCATATGACAGGCTTTTCCTTTTATCCTGTTTTCTGGATCTCAGTGTCAGGTTTGACTTCCTCTCCTTGTCACACCTGGTTGCTTTGCTGCTTGTTCTCCCACTTTTCACATAGTTATCATTAGATCGTTTTATGAGGTGTTTTCACCTTTTCCGGGGCTTTTTCGTGGAAATTTTCAAATGATTATTTATATGTTAAAAAAATGAACTTCCACACTGAGAAAAGTGCAAATGGAACATGTTTGCACCCATTTTTCAAGTTTAGATCTTAATCAATCATTGTTTTCTTCACAGATGGTTGGGATGTCATCGGGTGGGTGTAATGGGACGATGGGTTTAGTTCTGACTGTACTCAGCCAGATCTGAACTAACTAAATTGATTAAAACCTTATTTAAATGTGTGTTCACATCCCTGACAGATCAATTATTTCATGCTTACGATAAATATTATCTGGGTTCAGATTTCAGGGATGTGTCATACAATGTGGGTGAATTAGTGTAAATGCAACTTCATGACCCATCAACCGGAAGGAGCCAGTGATGTTTCTTACTTCAGCTCTGCATTTTTCGCAGGTTCTCCTCTGGCTCGCAGCACGGTGGTGACGGCCATCAAGTTCACCATCGTCGACCATCCGGCTCCCATAGACTCGCTGTTAAAAGACTGCATAGGTAAGGCCACCAGAGAAATAGATCCTGACCGGGCAGCACTTTGAGAAGCTCTGATCTGAAAACGCATGGCTTTGGGTCAGTCCTTTGAGTGAGGACGAGATGGAAAACACTTCCCGTGTCCGCTCTGCGCCACAGGGGATTTCCTGAAAACAATCCAGGATAACGACATCAACGTGCGTCGCGTCGCCTTGGTGATGTTTAACTCGGCCGCCCACAACAAGCCGTCCCTGATCCGCGGCCTCCTGGGAACCGTGCTGCCTCACCTCTACAAGGAGACCCAGATCAGGAAGGACCTCATCAGAGAGGTGGGTTCCACGGCTGCCGAGCCGCAGGTGTTTGTTTGTTTGTTTGTTTGCCTCTGCGTCCAGACGCCATGCTCTGCTGTCCACAGGTGGAGATGGGGCCATTCAAACATACCGTGGACGATGGATTGGATGTCCGTAAAGCCGCGTTCGAGTGCATGTACACTCTGCTGGACAGCTGCCTGGAGGGGCTGGACGTCCTGCAGTTCCTGGATCATGTAGAGGAAGGACTCAAAGATCACTATGACATCAGAGTGAGTGGAAATGACGTTAAAGTGGTGCCACGTTTCCTTCTGGTTGGGAGAAATAATCCCAGATTTTCCCACTTTAATGCCTAGGGGATAATGCCATCTCCTTTCTTTCGTCTGCAGATGTTGACCTTCTTGATGCTGGCCAGACTGGTGTCTTTGAGTCCTGCTGCTGTCCTTCAAAGGCTGGACCGACTAGTGGAGCCCCTGAAAGCAACCTGCACCACCAAGGTTGTAGAACACAGACACAGTCCATTTTAGAACTCAGTCAAACGCAAAATAATTCCATCATTGGGGGAAACTGTGGGGAAACTAACCCCCGGCGTCTGCAGGTGAAGGCCGGCTCGGTGAAGCAGGAGTTTGAGAAGCAGGAGGAGCTGCGGCGCTCGGCCATGCGGGCGGTGGCCGCCCTGCTGGCCGTGCCGGAGGTGGAGAGGAGCCCCAGCATGGCCGACTTCGCCAACCAGATCCGATCCAACGCCGACATGGCCTCCATGTACCAGAGCATCCAGGGAGGGGAAGGAGGGGGCGTGGGGCCCACAGAGAGCATGGATATGAGCTAAACAACAGGATGAGAGGAGCAAGTCGTCATGTTTTTTTATAGATGGGTTTCAAATACCGAAGTTAAAGTGATCTGTGTTTTAGAGAGGAATAAACACTGGCTGTTTTGGTACCGTGTCAACTTCCTCTGCGTCGAAATATGTGTTATTATAACAAGACAAAACGGACTAAATGACATAAAGGTTTATTTTTCTTCCTTTTGTAATCTTTCCAGACAGAATAGGATTACGTTTTGCTCACACAGGAAAAACAAGTGGAGGCAGCATTGTGGATGTTACAAGTTGTCAGAGGGGATTGCTCACAACATTTTGACTTCAAATTTTTTCGCATTTTTTCTCCGTCTATATCACAGCCTCACCGCAGACGCATTCATATTGTTCTCGACAGGAAGGGCTGCGGCTGACTTGTAAATGGTTATTAGCAGCACAGAAAGCGACAGGAAGATGATACTCATCTGTGAGAGGACGAGCTGTGTGTTTTCTCTAACACCCACGCTTCCTTTTGATAATTAGTAATAAATCAAACCATAATTCTGTTCTTTAATCCGAGTGAGTTCACATTTACTCTCCATAAATCCATACTTTTCAAATCCAGAGCACTGAAACAATGGCAGATCATCTCAGCTCAAAAGTATCACTTGAACTTCAGTCACGATTAAAGGAAAGGGAATATACAGGACTGTCTCAGAAAATTAGAATATTGTGATAAAGTTCTTTATTTTGCGATATTTCAGGCTTGCGATATTTCAGTTGATTTTTAATGAATCCAGAATGTATGATATTTCATGATTTTTAATTGCATGACAGAAAATAAAGAACTTTATCACCATATTCAAATTTTCGGAGACAGTCCTGTACAAGACTCACATGGAAGGAAAAACTATGGTTTTATTATTAGATAATGTACACACAGGCTCCTAACAGTAATTATGCAGCACCACAGTAACCAGGTAATAATACAGAACTCATTATTAGGAAATCACAGCAGAGGTAAGATCTGATGAAAGATGGAGGAGTGAGAGAAAAACGATGAGACTGTCTGCAAGGGAGCAGAAATACGTTGTCAAGAGAAGATATTTCAAAAGTACGCTTTCATTTGTAAGCATCGAGTTCATATCACCGATTTTTTTACTTTGCATCTCGGTTTTCTTTTCATATTTGCACCTGAGCACTTCGATAAAATGCTGCTCGTTGAAAATACCACAGTTGGAGACACAAATGCACAGGGAAGCAAACATATGACAAATATGATATTGTTCGGTGACATATACAATCAAATTAGAATAATAAACACCTTCATCAGATCACATCAGTGGAGAACTGCATTAGTGGATCTCGCTGAGATCCAAATTGTAAGCTTCACCAGCTTATAAAATTAAGTCAACCAATCATCCTCATCATCATCGCTCATGTGTCTATGTGTTATAGGTCTGGGTGAATGACAAGTAGGTTTGATTTTCAGGGGAGAGTATTGGCAGGCGGAGGAGCTGGGTTTGATGACCAGTGTTTCTCCGTCAGTCCTGTTTTCAAAGCTGATGGTGGAGTAGAGCAGTTTGGAGGGGTCTCTGGTGGGTGTGTCAGTGACCTGGAAGTCCTCGAGTATCTCCTCATAGACATGTTCCTTTCAAGAACGTAAGAAAAGCGCAGTTTAAGTTGAATCCCAATGGTATAAACTATCTATATTCACACTTACTATGCAAAGTAAAGTGTAGATTAATTACTACAATAATACAGCAGACAGGTTAATATTGGGAGTATTCAAATATCCTTTAGTGAGATCGGCCTGTTTATGGGACATTTATGGATATTATTATCACACTGACCTCTGCGGGATGCGGCGCTGCTTCTCTGTGTCCTGAACTTTTTGAAAGAAAAAACCCTTAAAGGAAGAGAACAAACATTAAAACACAAATAGACTTTTTTCTTTTTTTTTTTGCAGTTTTCCAGGAAGCTGAAAAGCTTTCGTCTGTGTCTGAGTGTGCAGTTATTTCCAGATCGGTGTTGAGATGCTTCAGTCTGATCTTCTCGAAATGAGTGTGGCTGTGGTTCTACGCACGCACACGCCTGCGTCTGTTAGGTAAAAATAAATGATTCTTACGCTTGTAGATCAGGATGAAAACTATGATAAACAGCAGTAATGCCAGGACGGACACAGAGACGACCAGAGCAATGAATCCCCCAAATCCCCCTGTGACAAAAAGACACCATTTATCGCTGTTAGCAGTCAACACAATATCACCAACCTTATCAGTTAAAAAGCTACACGTAACATTAAAAAATGTGGATATGCCTTTGTCTTCGCTGTCTTCATCTTTTTTCCTACCAAATCCGTTTTCAGCTGATGTGGAAGATGGCGATACTGAAAGCAAACAGAGAAAAATGAATGAGATGGATTTGTTCAAACATTTTCTTACACTCAGGGTCACTAATTAACCCCAATGTGGATGTTTTTGGAGATGGTGCTACAAACCACACCATGTCAGTGCCATTTGGATAGCACCAGTTCACAACAGAGGAAAGCCCAAACACAAAGGGCCAGTTCAGTTCAAATCGATTCAGTCCAATATCATCTAAATCAATCCACATATACTGAGCCATCTAAATCCTAGATGGTAGAAGTAGAAAAGTAGAAAAAAACAAAATCTTAGACTATCTCTTTTCCAATTTTTATAAAGATTGGTTGAGAATCTCTCCTCTGACACAAATATTCAGTGGTTTGCTTTGTTCCAAAGTCAAGAACAAAATGATTCGACAGAAAGACCTAAGCCCCCACTGTACTGTGGCTGCTAATTTCCTGTTTTCTCGTCCCTACTAATGCTTCTGTCAGTCTTATGGGGGGAAACGAGAGCAACAGAAATAGCAAAACTCACAGGTGCGCTTCCTGCATTGCATTTGCTAAGTTAGTTTAACTAAAAGAGCTGATTATGTCCAGAGGAAATCTGAAGTGGAACAGAGTCATCCAGTGGAAGATATTTTCAATTTATCATTACGAGTCTCCCAATCCAGTCCAGTTTGATTTATGAAGCATTTTAAAGCCTGATTTTAAAAAAAATGAGAAGAAAATATCTATATTTTCTATCTTGAAGTCTAAAACAAAATATGAGAATTACCAAAAGTCATGTTAGTATATTAACGTCAAAATTATTGTGCTGCAGTCTTCTACCCACTTGAATCAGATACATCAGACTGAGTAAAACAAGGTTTTGAGCAAAGTTTTTACAATAAAGTGATGCAAAAGGTCTCAGATGCAAAAGAGCTATCAAATATGATCTACGTACAACATTGTAAAGTTAGAATATTCAAAGTGTCTCACAGAAGAGAAGGTAAAACACCATAAATAATAAATTAACAGGCTGCGATATGCACAATAAGTACAAAAAAACATCAAAAGTAAGTACATTTTCTGAGTGGTGGTCTTCATTCTAATTGTAAGTTTGGAATATATGATTAGTGCTTATTTAAATCAGATTCCTGTTGTCTGTCAACATGTTCACACCTTTCACAAACAGGAAATGAACACACTGCCTATGAGCCTATCGGGGTTTCTGTCTTTTTAATATCGAACCACATCCTCTGATTTTTCTTCCTTTCACGGCCTCACAATGCATCTGCTTCTTCGCCGACAGTTTGAGGGGGTCTGTTTGTTTTCCTGGCCAGACACAGGCCCACCACCACTCACCCCTCAGATGCATTCTGCGGAGGAAGGTGGGGCTCCGGTGGCGGCTGGCGCTCTCCTCCCCACACCAGTACGTCCCCGAGTCGGCCCCCGTCACCGCCCTCATCCTCACGCTGATGTTCTTCTTCGCTTTGTCGTCCCTCATGGAGAACCTCGGACTCCCGTGTGGCTTCGTGGTGTTTACCAGCCGCTCACACGTGGACGGGTCCTCTCCCTTACAGATGAACTTTGGTACCACGTCGTTAAGATATAGGCAGAAGAATGAGAAGTCCTGTCCAGTAGCTGGCCGTCTCCAGAATGTCGTAACATCTGTGAGAAACAGGCGTTTTTTTGTGTTTAAGTCGTGAAAAATGAGGAAAACTTGAATTCTGATGTCACGAATAGCTCACTTTCAACTTCCAGATGAATTTTCATGAGTGCAGTGTGGTTTCTTCCATCTTTGTCCGCCACCCCACACCAGTAGACACCAGCATCGTGAGGGGACACGTGACTGATGGACAGACTGAGCCCACCACCGGTCTTTGTGAGAAGTGTCCTGTTTGGCACGTGGGAGGATCGTGTGGATATTTCCTCACAGCTGACGTTGCTTTCCTTGCAGAAAAACCAAACCGTGGCGTTGCTGAAGTCGCGTTGGCTTTGGGAATCACATCTAAGGGTTGTTCTAGTTGTTCTATAGGCTGTTTGATTAAACTGCATCTGGCAATCTTGAACATCTGCAAATTAAACAGAAATTCTTTCATATAAATACGTATATTTGAACATAAACCATCATTAAAGGTACATATAAATGTACTTATAAATTAATTCAGAAAGATGTGGCAGCAAAGCAGCACAAATGGACATGAAAAAACTGAAAGCCACCCACCAGCTATAATTTAGTTCTTTGGAAATTGTAGTTTTGATGGAATGAATTCACAAGAATATTGTCCACTGTCCACTTTTTTTTTGTAGTGAAAAACCAGAGTGGTTTTTGGCATTCTCTTTGTATTAATTATTCAAATCATTTACTAATTTCTTCTGTCTCTAAAATGTTCTTTGCAGTGTTTGTTTCTCTTTCATGATCTTTACAGAGTCTTTGGTTGGATCTAATCACATTCATCTCCAAGCTGAGTTACAAAGCATTCGGTGAACGTGGCATGCCTTCTTAAAAACTAAAGCGGCTGGCATTTCTTAAAAACAACAGCAATATAAACAAAGTAGGGAAGAATAAAAGTAGACGGTAGTAGACGGAATCTCACGGACAGAAAATTCAGAAATTCAGCACCTCAAAAATGAGCAGCTTGTGCTCAGATTTGACAGGATTTATGTGAATTATTTCTTTGTAATGTGTTACTCCTAAAACCGGAACTTCTTTCAACTGATTGTGCTTAAAAGTCTAAAAAGTATATCTCATTGCAGCATGGGAATTAATAGTAACATGCTGGTAGATACTGTAAAATTACATAAAACCTTTCATATTTATGCCAATGGCTTTAATTCAAAACCACATTAGAAGCGGATTAAGTTCAAAAGTACAGAGTAAATAACACTGCTGACAATATTCAGAGATGAGTAATTTGCTCCAATAGCCACATTTTGGGTTTTTATTCACTTTCATTAATTGAGTTGTCCAATTGAGCATTTATGAATCTCCTCATGATGTCGGATTCACTATTACTGCAGCAGTTATTGCTTTCAGACGTTTTGTCAGCTTCGGCCTGTTCTATCAGGATTGACATATAGAATAAAATGTATAATTTTATTTAAAAGCATTATGTAAGGGGAATTACAGACATGCCAAAGGTGGTGTGACAGCACAAAGCTATGAAAAGCAATAGCATTTTGACCTATTCTGGCTTGAATTCTGCTTCTCATCCATCTCTGAGCATGCTGCTGAAACGGTTGTTAGGGAGCAGGAAAACAGCATTAAGACATTAAGAACAGAACGCTTTAGATGTTTTTCAAAGATGAGTTTCTGTTAAGGCACAGCGGCACCATTCATCTCTGATCTGAGTAACAAGGAAAGTATTTACCTGTCATCAGCGAGAAGATGAGTAGAGAGAGGAACTTCATGTTGTCACGTTTTATATCAAATGAAGTAAAATTAAATTTGAACTTTGTTAGTTTTTCAGTAACAGGCTACCTTCCTACCTAAGTCCTCCTCCAAGGCTGTACAGATTACTCATGAGACGCTACTTGCAAATGATATGTAATGTGTGTTAAAGTTCCTCTAAAAGGGACAAATTCCTGTGTATATTTTGTAAACAAAAAAAATTAATTCAACATTGCACTTACAGACAATCAGAAAAGACAAATTTATAACGGAATTTTTATTAGATCCTGACAGAATCAGTGTTGCATTCTTTGCTTTTGATGCATTGCACATATTTTCTTTACTTTAAAACAAGAGAATAAAAAAATTACACATATAACTATCTCTAAAGTGAAGTATGGGTTGAAGAGAAGTTACAAGGACACGCAAAGTATTATGCAATGTAATTCTTTTAACAGAAACAGCAAATATAAAAACATCTTAAGCTGCAACTTTATGAGACAATATTCACTGAGAGACATCTCATCTCTATTTCTTTCATTATACATTACCGGTATATTATATAATTATATTATATACATTATATAACTGTTTTTAGGGGCAAATATGCACACCTTATGGAATAAAAAGGGAACTAATAAATGCAATGTTTAATATAAAACAAACACGTCATACTAATATCTAATTACATCTTTCCCATTTAAACTCCTATAACAAATTAGCTTAATCCAGAAATTAAATTAAGGACTCATCTTACTGATAGAGACAAATGTCACCTCTTCTATTACAAGAATGTTGGATCATTGGTGTTTTTCTGTGAATAATATAAAAAATACTGGGTGTCATTTTCTCCCATGTGAGCTTCTTCACAGAGTTGCTTTTCTTCATTTCTGCTGTGGCTTCTCTTTTGAGCCAACAGTGGCGTAAACCGGTGGCTGGCTGCTTTTCAGTGTAGAATATACACAAGTGGAGTTGGTTTTAGGAGCCAGGGACTGTCCATCGGGGGCCGGGCTGCTTTTAAAGTTTACAGTGCTGTAATGCAGCGAGAGCGGGTTGACTGTGGGAAAACCGGCCAGGGCATAAATGCCACTCACTGTATTTTCTGATTCTGGCCTCCGGGTTCTTCCCTCTATTTCCTCATAGACGTAATCCTAGTGGAGAAGAAAGAAAAGCACCACTTAAGTTTGCATTGATTCCATATACAAATGTGTAAATATGTGAGAAATTCCTGCCCTCTAATAGTCAGAGGATGCATTTATACACCAACCTCTTTAGGATGCTGCTCTGATACTTTGTCTGCCTTCTGTCTTAGATGTACAAATCCTGTTAAAAATAGATCAATTAGGATTAGTTTGATCACAGACATAACTGTTGAATTGATCTTAACTGTTCATCTGGTGGATGATTGAATGTTTTAATATGAGCTAATCTGCATTCTAAAAAATGGAACAGATGATCAGCCTCTAGACATAAAAACTAACATCGCACATCGTCTGCTGTGGGTGTTTCAGATGCACCGATAAAGTTTGAGTGGGTTTTTATCTTTAATCTATGTGATCATGTGACTGCCGGTGTTGCACGATGTCTGCTGTGGGGTGTTTCAGACGTAAACACGCGTCCTCAAATACGCGTTTCACACTTGAAGAAAGAAAAAAAAAAACGCTCTTACGCCTGACGACTAAAATCAAGAAGAGCAGCAGCAGCAGCAGCAGAAAGACGCCTCCGCCAATCAGAACGGGCCTGGAGTGGGTTGTAGGAGCAGGAGGTGGTGTGGGTCCTGTCCCTTCCACTGAAAACAACCAAAAAAAGACGTTGTTGCTGCATTTGAGTGGATCTGGAACTCAACTCATTAATAACATCTGATGGAGACATTGGGTTTTAATCGAACACTTCAACTCTGCCACACATTTACATAACAGATACATCTTTAGCCATGAAGTCCAGCTCTTTATGGGAGATTCATAAAGCTTTGAAAGACAAGCAGCTGCTGTCTTAAGTGAAAAAAAAAAAAGATTTTCAGCTAATTTTGAGATAATGAGCCAGCATTTGAAGCTTGTCATTACCACATCTTTTCCATAGGTGGTCATTAGCTTATTAATGTGTCCAAAGACTAGAAAGGTTTGCATATCTAATCTACAACAACATCCTCCAATAATCCTGCTTGTCTAATAACTTCTAATTCAACCTATAAAAACGGAGAAATTGGTCTACAAACAGCAGTGTTGCTTGGACTGGATTAACCGCAGTTAGTTTGTATTTTTTTGTGAATTTAAAGCTTTCAGGTGGACGGTTTGGTTTGCGTGTCCACATTCGAGTTTGGCCAAGGGTCCAGGGGTCAGCGCATAATCAGACAGAAAAAGGATATCTCAGGCCGGACGTGTCTGTTTTGACATGAGCTCTGACGTTTTATCGACTCGGTCATATTGTTTTTAATCCCCGCTCTGACGGCTCATTACCGATGATTTTTAAAGCTTCTTTTTTGGAAGACAGATGTTTCCTCTTATTGCCATAAATGTAAACAATACCTGAAAATGTCACAATACCTTATCAAATTGCTTCCTTTCATCGTGTTACAGCAGCCCACAAAAACTTAACCTGACATTTTGAGGGCTGAGTGACTGAAAACAAAACAAAAAAAAGGTCAGATTTTGGGATATCTACTTATGTAGTTGTTCCCGTCTAAGCCCTGAGCACTCAGTGCCTGGAAGTTGTTTGTGCTGTTTTGTGTTATCATATGAAATAAATGACAATTTCTTAATTTTCAAGCTGTCATAGCGTGGTGGGTCAGGTCACCAGCCGCTCGCATTCATTCCTTGAGGCAATTCAGAGCCACCAATTAACCTTTTTTTCCCTTTTTTTTAACTAGATTACTACGGCACCAACTGAGCCTGACTTAAAAAGGTAAAAGAACTACAGATGAGGGTGATACTGAATGGACACAGCTGAGGCACAAAATGAACCACCACTCATCAGACCGGCCAAAAGCGCAGGAAAACTACCAAGTACAAACCCACAAGTTACGACATGCCGTGGGCACATAAACGCATCACCTAATTCCAGCCACGCCAGCGTTTTCACAAAGTAGTGATTCACCCAAAATAATGAAGTCATCCGTCAGAAAAAGCTAACTTTTTTTGATTTTCATTTTCAAATTTGAGTTTTCTGATCAAGGAGAATCCTTGAGTCGGTAAAAAAAAAAGCAGCAGGAGGAGGATTATTACAGCGTTAACCAGAAGTGGCAATCAGGAAATGAAAGCCGGGGCAGCACACAAAAACTGTAAAACCAACAACGTGAGCCCGGGGCGACAGGAACTATGAGAATTACACAAGAGATAGGATGAACCAAGAAGGCCCAATCAACGTCAGAGACCTTGACTGTAAGCTGTGGACGCAGAAGTTACTCTGTTACGGTTTTGGTGATGTTTAAAAGTTACAAAAGCACGAAAGAACAACATGAAACTTTTCCACTGAACTAAAGCAGGTCAGCTCTCACCGTTCAAAAGCATTCTGCTGATGAGCTCGATGTCCCCCTGCTTTCCGGAGAGTGTTCCTCCACACCAGTACATCCCAGAGTCCGCCGCAGTCACCCCTCTCATTGTCACGGTGATATTTTTTTTATTTTTATCATCGTACATGGAAAACCTTGAGTTTTTGTTAGGCTTTGTGGTATTTACAAGACGCTGGCACGTGGACGGGTCCTCTCCCTTACAAATAAACTTTGTTGAGTACCGTGCATCCTTATATTTGCAAAAGAACGAGAGGTCCTCTCCAGAAGTTGTTGATTTCTCAAAGGTTGTTATTTCTGAAAAGCATATGTTTGTTTTTTTAGTGACATCTTATCATTTGACAGATCTTCAGATGATGAATATAGCTACTCACCCTTTACTGCAAGTTGTGTGAGGGCCACACGATACGTCTTTTGTCCTTCTTTAAAGCCACACCAGTAAAGACCATCATGCTGAAGCGACAGGTTCCTGATGGACAGATTGAAGCCTCCGCTGGTCTCTGTGAGGTTGACCTTACTGTCTGACCGCTGAGAGGATGTAGGTAATAATACATTATAACAGACAGAGTTTTTCTCTTTGCAGAAAAACTTTATCTCCATTAGCTCGCTATGCTCCGGGGGCTTGCACGTGATGGTGGTTTTAGCTGATTCGTAAGCTGTCTGAATCACAGGTTTAGGACAGCCATCTCCTGCAAGTAGAAAAACAAGAAAAAGGGTTCAAAGAGAATTTTTGTATCAATTTTGCTGTATCTGATATCATAAATAACAAGTATTTGTAAATTGTATACATTTCTATTTCTTTATCGATTTAAAATAAATGTTCACGGTAAGGTTAAAATTGAATGTATTTCAATGAGAAAATGAAAGTTCTTACGGTACTGAAATTCAGCTTCCTCCACACCTGGTGATTGAGAAGATGTTTTATCACATCTGGGGGTCTTTGACTTATGTTGGATTTTGACAGTGAAACGTTTGAGTTGTTTCTTTATATTCGAATTAGAGACCTCTGCTGTTTGATATTTTCCGTTTGTTTTAGCACTGCATTTCATTTCAACCCAGTCTCGGCTCGCCCGTGGCTGAGTTTTACAGACTTCATAAACTGTTGGAAAGAGACACAAAGGTTCAACTCATTTAGAGAAAATACCCAGGAATCAAATAGTCCAATATGTATAATTCAAATATTTCTTACAGCTTATGGACAGTTAACTGTATTTAACTAGATAAAACAAGGCAGTAGATTTAAAAAATAAATATATAAATTAATCTTTTTACCTGATATCACTGAGAAGATGAGTAGAAAAAAGCCCTTCATTTTAACGGTAACGCTGCAGTTGGATTGAGTGAGTTTCCCTTGTTGGTTTTTTGGTGAAGTGTGAAGACAGGCGTGGTTCCTGTGGTTAATATCAGGCTTCTTACATATGATCCGCCCATCTTCCTGTTTTCTTTGCAATACACATCCTTATGTTGCAGATTTGGTGAGAAGATTTATGAGGTTTTTATGAGGCCCTCTGAGGGCTGAGTTGACCGACCTGACTTTGTGTTTCTGAACAATGATTACCAGACAATTTACACATAATCAGAGACACAAAGTGTGATGACTGATGTCATCGACTCTTCGAAGCAAACCTGCGTGGTTTGTGTCTGTTCATTTTTTAAGAGGGGCAAAGTTTGTATTGTGCATCTTTACTTTGACCATAACTCGTTTATAAGTTCGATTTAAAGTTTCCGATCGCAAATAAAATCATTGCACGTGGATTACAACCCACGAAACATGAAAGGAATCTATTAATATGATGAAATGTTTTTGACGGCCATTTCCTAGGGAATGAACTCCACTTCCTTTTGTGTGGAAGCCTCGTCACTGATGGACAGATGAACACAGATTACAGACAAGAAACAGAAAAAGGGATGATTCAGCTAAATAACAGCTCTGAGAGCAGATAAATGTGAATAAAAAACACATGGCAGTACTTTTAAAAAGCAGAACAATTAATTGTCAGGTTTTCAAACATTAAAAAAAGACCTCTCAAGTGGATTGTGCTAAATCCCGGTAACGATTAAGGAGTATCAGCGTTTTTTCCACCGGCTCTAAACTCATTTTCAGATGGCTCATTTCTGTCCTATTGCGCCAACATGATGAAACTCTCCTGCTTAGTGGGAAGTTTATGGTTTATGACGTTCAGCCATTCGAGGTTCCTCAACATTGTTCAATTAAAGCTTCATTCATATACGTAACATTCGGCAAAATCTGCCCTGTGTAGAAGTCTCATAGTTGGATATTTTCAAATATCTGTTTGTTGACTAATAGGATTTTTGTGTGTGTGAATTTGACTTTGACTCAGACTTCAATTAATTTGATTTGGTTGGACGACCATTGTGTTGCGTCGAATTTGACTACAATTGTCCATGATTTTAACTTTGAACACACTTGAGATGACATGTGTTGTTGGTTGACATGATTTGGTGATTTATTATGATATGAATAAAGTTGACTCACTTATCAGCGCCCACATCCAGCTAGCGGCCCCATTAGGAATAAGCAGAATGTCACGTCAGGTTTATTTACGTCTGGTGTTCGTGTTGTCTTGTGACTTCCTGTTGTGGCTTGACACCAACCTTCCTCTCGTTCCAGATGACTTACACTTCCTCCTGTGTTTTACTGTTTATTCCACCCTGATGTGTTTCACCTGCTCCCCATCCAGTACATGTTGTTCATCTTGTCCCAGCGTCAGACTGCAAGTTCCTTGTCCACGTTCTTGAGCTGCCATCTTTTATTCCACGCAATATTTTGCGTCCAGTCTTTGGGGTTGTCCTCTTAGGAGCGATCTCCTGTTGATACTTTGTCGTTGGCCTCGTTTGAGAGAATTTCTATTTCTGCATATTATCAAAGAATCTTTATTTGATACTTTGTCAGAGTCATGCAGAGATGTTCTCTCTTGCCACAGTGTAGATAATGGATGGTTAGATGGGTTTTTGATTTTTTTCTAGTGTTTTTTCAGTGTCTTTGCAATACTGATTAAACAGATTAGAACAGCTTTAATATATTTGAAAAGTATTTTAAAGGAAGAAAGAACCTTCCGTGATATGAATTCAAATGAGTAGACTGTGTATATTTTTACCTATTTATTTTAATTTATTTGTTGCATTTAAGGTCCAGGCTGCCGTCTGGACCTCTTGTTTTCCTCCAAAGAGTGTGAACGTGCAAAGCAGCCATTATTGGAACTGAATTCTGAAAATCCAGGGAAATAACAACAACGTTTGAGACCTGAAAAGAAAGTCTGACCTCCGCGGACAACAGCAACTACGTCTGATTGTGTTGGAACCTGCACATTAAAGCCTTCTCTCACAATTAATAAAGCAGGTCATTTTTTCCTAACAGTTCTCTCTGGGTACTTTAGGCCCTGGAAGGGACGGCCTCCTTTCTTTCACAGAGCGCTAATGGGTTTTGGCCAATGTCTTGGGCTTGTGGTCTGATAACATATATCGTACGCTCCAAGGGAAACACGGAACAATGGTTCCATGGTATGATTATGGTTTATGAGTGTGTTTGCGATCACTGGGACCGCCAGCCAATCTGAAAAGAAAACACAGATAAGATAGAGACTTCATACGGTTTTTGGGGTCTGCGGGGCAAATCAGAGCGCTCAAACCCATGCGGGGCCGATCGGTGTTTATAAGACTCGAGCTGTGATTTATTGTGATTTATTAGTTATTTATGGCCTGCTGGTGAGAAGAACATTTACAAGACAGAATGAGCAAAAGCTGCAGTCGCTGTTAGGATGATGAAAAACAGGTTGTGTGTGACTGGATGTGTGATGGTTTTAGTGGACTTTTGGGGATATTTCAGATACATTTGGAGGGCTATTTGGAAGATTTTTGTGCCTGCGTGTTTGCTAATTCTTTGTTATCATTAGGCGGTAACGCGTCATAGCCCATTATGCTAAAGGAGACATTTGTTCTTTTCTTAAAGTGCGTTAAAGTCAAAGCCAACTCAGAAGGGAGCCCAAAGAAGTTTTTCATTTTTGTTCCATGAAAAACAGCTCAAACATAATAAAAAAATGTCACTTCAGTCCAAGCCAGAGCTGTAGTGTGGATATTCCCACCCGGTCACCTCTGGATTACATGGTTGTTCACACTTGCTTAAACGGTTTTAATGATGGGGGTCCAGAGAAATGGAGACTGTAGTTTTAGTTCCACCAGACTTAAACATTAGGGGAAAGAAATGTCATTTCACAGAGAGGCCGTTCTTAATAATCTTCTCTACGCCTCATTATAATTACTGTGCAAAAAGGGGTTTAACGGTGAGTCCATTATGAAATACTCAGTGTGAACGGGGTTGCTCTGACGTGTCAGAGAGTGTGTGGAGACGTTTGATTGATGAGGGTTAATGTAACCCTGGAGTTAGGTGGGCTGTAGAGTGTTTGCTCAGGGATTTAAAGGCCTGTCAGTGACCGACAGCTGCAGACTGACCGCCTCCAATCCGCCCTACGACCGTCTTATTCCAGCCACCGCTCCACCGGCCAGATGTGGAGCTGAGAGATAGTGTGATGCACAATTTATGGATCAATAATCCCGTAGCTTGACCCTAATTAAACACGTGTTAAATCCTTTTGTTAAAGAAAAGGATTCTGTGTGATTTAGGAGCATGTTCATAGCTGCTGTTATCAGGCTTTGAATGACTTTTGTGATACAGCGAGAATGAAGATGATAATTCTTTATAAACACGCTGGTGGGAAATCTTTCTGCGTTTATTTCAGGCTGACAGGTTTAAGCCTCTCTGAAGATTATATTGAAGACCTATTTTTAGCGTTAAAAAAAGAAAAAAAATACAGACAAATTTCTGGCCACAAGCAAGATATTTTTAACAATATTTGTAATCATGCTGTGTATAATTAGAACAAATAAATCCAAATGAAGTCTAATTATTAACCACTAAATGAAGGACTATTAGAATAAACATAAACTCCTTTCACAGGGAAATTCCTTTCAGTTTAAACATGGACCGTGTTTAAAGATACGATTGGGTCTAAATGGCAGATAAGAGCAAAAATGTTTGGAATCAGTCCAACTGATTCAGATTAGTAGACTCAGCATCTGAGAAAAAGTTTACAAGTTATCCTGGCACCAATCCTCAGCGTGGAAACAGAATTTTTTAAAACAAGGTTTAAATGAATATTTATCTATATATATATGTATTTACATGTGCATGAGCCTGGTACATAAACTAAAAACAAAAAAGCTGTGGTTGCACTGCGACTAGTTCCAGTTACGTTTGTTATCACAATACAATTCAATGTCTTGATAAAAAATGTATTCGTTTTCAATTCATTCCAAATGAGTCAAATTCATACAGATCCAATAAAAGAATTGTGGAGCCAAAGACACCAGCAGATTCAGATAGGCTTTGTTTCAAGTCAAACTTATAGCTGACGGTGTCAGACTCTGACCTTTGTGGTCACTCTGGGATTGAGATATTTCAAGTAAATTCATAAATATTGTTTTTAATTTTCTTGTCTATTTCCTGAAATCAGTAAAACCCAACATTTAAGACAGGCAGTGAATATTTTGGCAGAGCAAACGCGGACAAAAATCTGCAAATCCCAGCACGCGGTTTGATTAAAGCTTTCTTCCACTTTGCTCGACCTCACACATATTTTTAGGCACGATCACAGACATTAAACGCTTAAAAACTCTGCTGTGGTTTTATGCTCAGAAAATGAGCCGTGTCTGTGAAATCTCTCATGGATTTTTGTGTACAAATGTAATCCTGTGACTTCAGGGGTGATGGACTGTACATATATATAAAAAAATCTATTCAGGTTGGACGCATATTACCAGCGTGAGCGAGGCCAAAACTTAGAGTAAAAAGGAAAAGAAAACCTACTGGTGCAACAGTTTTGGAGGATTACCAGATAAATAATTTCTGCATGTTTTACAGAGAGCTGCAGACCTGAGAATGTTTCAAAATGATATTGCCAAGGGGGATGAGGAGAAATCTAAAGGATTGAAAATATGGCCCTCTGGGGTATTGTTTCTTTTTACATAACAGCGCAGCGCTAAACTGTTTTTACAGCTTTCTCGCTGGAAATAAAATCTACAGTGTATGTAGCCCAATTTCACATAAATAGCTGCCAGAAAGGGGAGATTAAATGTGATGTACCCCCTTTTGGGAGAGATCACCGCAAGAGATGAAAGATCCGAAGCGGTTTGGGGTAAAACACTTTGAATGACCGGTGCACCTGTAGCGTCTGACCCCACCTGACCACAGTTGCTTTGACCCCACAGGGCCTTTGGAGCTCTTGCAAACTTTAG